CTAACAAATCAAATCTGTCATGCAATATATCATTGTGTATAGTCGTTATATGGACATCAATAGTTGATAGTGTATCAATACGCTAATAAACTGGATAATTTTGTGGTCGATTTTGTTGATGAATTGTGATTTATGGAACAGTAATAATGAAGAAATACACATTTTAAAATGCTTTCTCATTGGATCTCATTTATCTATAGCATCAATCAAACCTGTATTTAACCTCTAACTGCTAAACATATATATGTATTCCTGATAACTATTTATTTGTGTGTCTAGGACATCTTTCTGTATTTTAAGAAAATATTTATTTATTTAATTGGACACATGAATATTGGTACAAGAAAGCGCCAATATATATGCGCCACACAAAACAATGAAAATTCGAGAGAAATACAAAGAAAGAAAAAAAAAGCCAAGGAGCGCAAAAAAAACAACAATAACGAAGAGATTGGTGTAAGGTAATGTGCTAGTAATCAGGGAACGCAAAGGTGCAATCGGAAGAAATCTTTCAAGTAAGGGAGACACAACCACTCTCAGACCCCAACCAGTGAGTCGTGAAGGACCGACAGAAACCAGTCCTTTGCAGCTTTTTTTCATACCACGACACCATGTCATGCACTGACCACCTCTCCGCTTCTTCCAACCAGTCCTAGAGTCGGCAAATAATGCACGACGTGGAATTCTCTGGGATGACATTCGTAGAACATGTCCAAGCCACCGAAGTCGGTGTTTCAAGATGGTGACACCATCTCTGTGCCCGAACACACGATGCCGAACCTCTGCATTACTGACATGGTGTTGCCACTGAATGTCAGCAATCCTTCAGAGACAACGATGATCGAACACAGAGAGTCGTCTAACGTCCTCAACTCAGAGAGACCAGGTTTTACAAGCATAGAGCAAAACTGCTCTGACCGACGCGTTGTAGATCCGACATTTTACAGCCAGGCTAACATCACGAAGGCGCCAAAGATGGCCCAGATTGGCATAAGCCGCTCTGGCTTTCACTATACGTGCATTGATCTCATCACTCACACCCCCACCAGCACTTATGCAGCTACCCAGATACACGAACTTCTCGACTACGTCTATCTGCTCACCATCCAGAGTGAGTACAGGGTTAGAATCTTGCCAGTCTTGTAGAAGTACTTTGCACTTCGAAGGTGCAAAGCACATACCATACCTACGGACACTGATTGCCTACTGATTAAGTGCGGATTGTACGGCTTGGGCGTTGTCGCACAGTAAGACAATATCGTCCGCATACTCAAGGTCGAGAAGTCTTTCTCCAGGCAACAGATCCACAGCACCATTACTTACATTCATCAGAGCTGTTTCCAGAATGTCGTCGATGGCAAAGTTGAAGAGGAATGGTGAGATTGGGCAACCCTGCCTAACCCCACTACTCGAATGGAACAATGGAGAGAGGTGGTTGTATGCCCTCACTCTACCTGAGGTGTTTGTATATAGGGCCTTTAGGATGTTAATAAACTTCTCAGACACACCCTTCTTCAATAGACAATCCCAGAGAACAGTCCTATCCAACGAATCGAAGGCAGTCCTGATGTCAAGAAACACTAAGATTGTTGGCCTTTGATAAGTATGGCGTTGTTCTAACATTTGGCGGAGGGTGAATATATGATCAATACATCCTCGGCCAGAACGAAACCCAGCCTGCTCCTCGCGAGTCAATCTTTCTCGGGTTTTGAACAACCTACGAAGTATGACGGAAGCCAATAGCTTGGACGCAATCGGAAGTAGACTTATCCCCCGATAGTTGTTGAAGGAACGACGTGAACCCTTTTTAAAGATAGGGACAACTATCGACTCACTCCATGACGTTGGTACACTCTCTAATTCCCAAACCTTTGTAAACAACGTCGTCAATTCCTTAGTCAAAAAGTCACCACCATCTTTAAAAAGAGCCGGAGGTAAGTCATCTGGGCCAGGTGATTTGTAACGCTTCAAGAGTTGGAGTTCCTTGCGGACTTCCTCCTCGTTTGGTGGATCAGTCGTCACTGGCCATGGATGGCAGGACAGTCTGACAGATGTTGCCGGAGCAGCAGGCCAGTTGAACTGCCCTTCGAAAACTTCTGCCCAGGTTGTAGTCTGTGCAAAGTTGCAGTAGACGGTCCCCGTTATCTGACCTGCGACCAACGAGTCCCCATCGGCCACCTAAACGACTCTCTTCTGTGCCTAGACGCCCGACCTGAGCATTCAAGTCTCCGGCTAGTACTACAATATCTGTCGAACGCACTTTCTGGAGAAGGACAGATAACTGGTCGTAAAACTCATCCTTGATTGCATCCGGGCTGCAATATGTCGGCGCATAGGCGGAGATGACGAAAAGACATCGTTTTTCACGCCGATTTCTTCTCACTTTGATGGAACTTTCTAAACTAACAGCACATGACCGACTGTTAATGGGGGTCCAATCGACTAGTGCCGCCTCAGCTCTAGCGCTTAGTGCGACACCAACGCCAGCAAGACCAGACGAAGATGCCACAGGGTTCCCGGATAAGCGCACGTAAAACAAGTTTTTGAAGCGACAGATGGAGAGCGAATTTGTAGTACTTCGCCAGAGTCTTGAATACGGGTCTCGGATAGACAACAAACATCAATATTAAGACTTTCCAAAGACATAGCGAGCCCTATCTGTTGTCCGACCTGCACTAGTGTGCGAACGTTGAAGGCAGCCAGTTTGAATGGTGCACGTGGTTTCAGAAAAACTGCTTCAGTTGTCGTATTCGGTGGTAACATACAATTTTCAACCGGACAGTCGAATTTCCACCAAAGACGAGCCGCTGTATAAGTATAAAAGAGGGTGAATAATGTGGAAAATAATAATAATAATAATGACAATAATAGTAATAATTATAATAGTATTAATAATGAAAATAATTGTAATGATGATAATTTGAATCAATTTATTGTTTTTCGAAGCGAGAAAAGTAATTTCCATAGACATACAGAGTTCATCATTTGTGTGTGGGCTGTGATACTGCCCGGGTGCCCAAACCGAAGCAGGTGGTTATCTTAGGGGGCCACACCCCGAGCCTTTGACCTAAAGGTCTAACCCACAAGGCAGTGGAGCATCGTAAGGAGATGCAGTCCCATGGTAGCCGGTGACCAACGATTGGTTCATACGCCATTTGTTCCCGCAGGATACTGGAGGCCATGTGCACCATTGGTTTGTGATCCGGTTAAAGTGCCGGACGTTCACTTTTCGTCCTCTCATTTTCATAAACAACACCCCCGCCACGAGAAGGCAATGAGTAGGACTTCCCTGACAGAGGCTGTATACGCGCGGCCGTGTGAAAGTATTTCGAGAAGGAGAGCGGACTCTACTCACTCTCGGTCGTACCAGGGCATTCGGGGGTTAAGAAAATAAGTACCACTTATTGATGAAATTGAACGAATACTAAGTCATCTACGCAGATATTTTAAGCATGTTTTTTCTATGTTTTGCACTTGTTAAAACTTTACTATTACTAGTCTGCCTCAGTATCTCTTAAGATTGGTATTTTGGGTCTCTTTTAATAACGTAATATGAATTGCGAATTTTTTTACCAATCCACTACTTACTGTAGGTAGTTGAATGCTTTCTAAAGAGCGGGTATAATGCGCATATATATATATATATATATATATATATATATATATATATATATATATATATATATATATATATATATGCCCCCAAATACCCTGGTACGGCCGAGAGTGGGGAGAGTCCGCTCTCCCTCTCGAAACGCTCTCACATGGCCTCGCGTATATAGCCTCTGCCAGGGAAGTCCTACTCACTGCCATCTCGTTGCATTACTGTTGTTTACGAAAATGAGAGGACGAAAAGCGAATGTCCGGCGCTTTAACCGGATTCCAAACCAATGGTGCACATGGGCTCCAGTACCCTGCGGGAACAAATGGCGTACGAATCAATTGTTGGTCACCGGCTTCCATGGGACTGCATCTCCTTACGATGCTCCACTACCTTGTGGATCAGACCCTCAAGTCGAATGCTCGGGGTGTGGCCCCCTATGAAAGCCGCCTGCTTCGGTCTGGGCACCCGGGCAGTATCACAGCCCTCACACATATCGAATGAGATTTGTGTGGCGCATATGTATTTGGTGCCTCTTTGTACCAATATCTATGTGTTGAAATATATATATATATATAGTACTTGATTATAGATTCTTTCAGTGTCGCTTGCATCTAGTAAACCTGCGTTCACTGTTTTGAAGTCAGATTCAAGACTGTTGACAAAATGGGCGAGTTGATAAAGCAGCAACAAATCTGTATTATTTAGGGTAGTTCGGCCATTTAGTAACACATGCTAATTATTATCAACCTTGCGTTGTAAAACTGGTTAAAAAAATACAAGCGCATAAGAATAACTCCCAACTTCAGTCAATTATTTTGCTGTGTAATTTATTTTAGTAAGATTTTTAATAGGTTGCATTTGCAGTCACAGCTGAAAACTAATTACGTTCGCGTACATATATACATTCTTCATTTCAGCCTCGAACAGTTTTGTCACCCTTCATATTTCATCTTTATCCTCATATATGTTGTTTTTGCATTGTAAACATGTTGATATATCTCCGATACTCTACAAAATTGTGAGAATTGTAGCTTCTGTATTGTCTTGTTTCCCTGTTTATTATGTAGAAAAAAATATGATTTTTAGGAGTTTCTTCATATTGATATAGGGTTTGAGAGTTAGTTACCATGGAATAGTTATTATGAAAGTTGTACACCTTCATTTGCTTGCGCCCACATTAGAAATAATATTTACCACTTGGGTTTCATTCGCTAACTATCCATTTTGATCATTACAACCTCGGTTGACCGTGATGTAATTGTAATCTATGATATCAGTGATTTTTCCTGAATATCACCTTGTATTGCTTATGATAAAAGATGGATTAATTTTCGAAAATTTACCAAGTTTTAAAATAAACAATCTAATTGTTTGTATTTTCAAAAATATAAAATAGGCCCTAACGCTTATTCAATCCAAATCTACAAATTCAATTTCAAGCAAGGATTCAGATGATGCAGATCTGAAATTAAGTCATCATTGTACTATTAGCGCTGGAAGTAGTAGTGGTACACACGTTGGCCGAGATCGTGTAAAAGTAAAATTGGATGAGACAGAACCCTTTGAACAACAATCAGTTCTAACGACACCACATTGTAAACTTGGGTCATGTATTACTCGGCGAATTATACCAATTAAACCTGCTCCTTTGGTATTTCGTCTTATCGAACAAACCCATATGGTGTTAGATGCAACAAACTGTTCACTGATGACTCTGAAACATCTGGAGGGTAATCTGCAATTGATTTATCTTAAAAGTTCAATACTGACAAATTTGTTAGTTAAAGAAGGCTCAAACACGCTTCACCGAGTTGATCGGATGACCATTGCTGCAGGGTTAGTGACATTAATTATTTTAATATTTGCTTACTAAAATTAGTTTTCATACATACAAATTACGATATATAGTAGACTTTTTAGAATTTTTTTTACTCACTTATTATAACATTGAATAAATGATTAGTGACTGGATGTTTGATTACTGCCCTGTCTATGTTTCGACAGGTTAAGCATTTAAATTAATTTTCTCGTTGACGGTTTCCGTTAAACTCATGAATATAAACTTGTTGCAAAAAAAGTTAAAAGGATGGGTTATATGATGATATCATAAAATGCTGTGGTCATTTTTTAAACTGGTTGTCTGAATTGACGGGGTATTTTAAGAAACTGATTACTTATAAATAACAATACTATGTAGTATATTTGGGTTTAGGGTAACAGTGAAGTCCAGGATGCACATTTTAATGTACTTGGATACATTATATATATATATATATATATATATATATATATATATATATATATATATATATATATATATATATATATATATATATATATATATATATCGATTGTTGTCTGTTCTGTTCAATATATTGTTTTGTCAAGCATCCAGTGATGTACGTGTTTGTGGTGACATTTTGACATCAAAATGAGTGGTTCATTCCGATTTCCAAATCACGTGCATTTTGTTTTAAAATATGCATCGTAATTCCACTTAATTAATAATGGTGTTTTGAAACAATATGATTAGTTAACAGAGTTCATTTCCAGAATTATCAATTACGATTAATTTTAAACGGTTAATCTAACTTATTCTATTTCACTATGTGGATTGCGAAATGTAATTCTTATATCATTAATTTAGTATCAGTATAACAACTAGTGTGAATCCATCTTACTGTTACACATAATAACAAACAAAAAGATCTTAGAATATTTAGTATATGGTTAGCAGTGAAGTGCAGTATCCATGTCTCCTATTTTAGACTTCTCAGCCGACTTTACGTGTATTCTGCTATTAATATTCACAATGTGACTGACTTTGAATCTGTAGAAACATTCAGCTGACAATGTTGAGTTACGACAAAACTCATGTTCTGGATTTCTTTGCTAGCCACTATATCGAGACAATCCTTTCAGGATGTACATATGGCAACAGATAATAATCGGTTGAAGTTCCTAAATGTCAATAACTGAAAATTAAAAAATCTCACAATTGATAAGATAAACTTTAAAGATATCTGCACAATAAACTCCAATATAATTTTGCCGTTTACTTAATCCAACCTGTTAATCTATGTCAGCCATTTTAATATTCGTTTCAAGTGATGTATACGTGTGAAAGTGCGTCAATATGTTTTTAACATTTACTATTATTCAGCTCATTAGTAGATTTTACGGAAGATTTCGTTGTAAGAAAACCTTAAATTTACCGGTAACCAACATATACTTGGGGATCGTGCATTTGTTTCACGTTATGTATAATAAGGATGCTATTTTTAAGATATGACATCATCCAATTTAAAACATCGTTATGAAGTGTTCGGTTGTTTTCTGAATTCCTTGTATTTCAGTGCACGTTGCTTTAAGCCATCTCAATGCTTGTAGCCACTAACCCTGTAGTGAAAGAGAATACAGGTGAGGACAACCGATTATATTTAGCACAAAATTAGTTACTTGATAAAATAGAAGAACCATACTCCAATACTTCATTTGCAAAATTTTCATTAATTGTCTCAGATTTAATCGTTCCTGCATTTCTATTCCCGTTCTTCCCTCCTCGATCTTCTCAACCTTCTGCTGCCAGATATTCTATTCCTGACTAGTTTTATACACTACTTATGTCAATATAAGTAGCACACTGCACTCGTCTCCCTTTTAATAAGCTGTCGCCGCAGTTTTTCCGATCGCCGTACCACTGTCTTCTTTAGTGTTGTTCGTGACTTGCACTCATGATGCTCTTGAAACCACCTCTGCAGTTAACTGGAATTTACGTGCTTCTGCTTATCTTGTCTCTGGATCATGTAAATTGAGCCACGTCTCTCCGTGACACTGTGCGGTCCTTCCCACTTCGGAATCAGCTTTCCTGACCCTGGTCTTCCTGATGTCACTTTTCCGTCCTCTACATTTTACCAGATTTCCACTGCAAAAGGATTCTACGTTCTTTTCTGCTGTTCCGCCTTCTTTTTGTCTGATATTTGTTTCTTTTCCATGTTCCTTATTGCCTCTTTCCTCTCTTTTCTTAACTTTGCTACAGTCCACTTCTGTTGTTGTTGCCAGGTTTTATTATGCATTAAAAGTCGTGGTTGTCTACAATATATAAGCAGGAAAGGTGACTTCTTGCTTGCTCCTTGTATGGAGGCACAATACGTCAGCGAAATCAATGTTAACTCTTTCTTCCAATTTCCTCATTTAGCGGTTAACACTTCCTTTAACGTCCGGTTGTTTCTTTCTACTGCCAGACATTCTATTATTTCTATCTACAATTCAAGACAATTATTGATTGTATTTTTGTATTCGAATGAACATGGAAGTGAAGTTATTAATTTTGATAATCATACCACACCAATTTTCACTCTGATTGTTCAATATGTGTTCGTATACACCATTTAAAACTCGCTATTGAAGTGTATAGCAACCCATAGTTCTTGATTGAACGTTAGATTATAAAATCTTCACGGTCACTTAGTTACATTGATCATTTTTCACTGATTAATTAGATAGCATATATATGTATAAATAGTAGCTTTTTGTCTTTTTTTGTCATTTGTAGTTGCTTGCCGGAAGATCTACCTTTATTGCTGTCCATTGCATCATCTTGTTCTGCACGAGTTGCGAATATCTTACATTCTAGTCAGTTCGACTGGTTTAATTTAGGATGATGCTCTACATAATAAACGTTTTTTTTGGAGTAATTAGTCACAATTGATTATCACTTATTCAGTTTTCCTTCAGTATAAAATATCATTAATCAGGAATCGTTAATTTTGTAATCATGTTACGGTCATATAATTTGATTCTCTATATTGAAAACATACTCTTACATAATTGACAAACTTTTAGATGCCCATCATTCTTTTTGATTGATCATTTAATTATATTGTGTAAATTATTAAGTTTGCATTACTACTTCTTTTTGTTGATAGCACTCCCTTGTACAAATCCCTTTTTTTCCTTTAATAATTCATTATTTCGAATGTGTCTGTTTTTTGATGGAAGAATAGTGTTTTAATATATATATATATATATATATATATATATATATATATATATATATATATATATATATATATATATATATATATATATATATATATATGTCTGTGCGTAATTCAGATTGTCTACATAAATTTCCGAAAATCGATCATTATTATTATTAAAAATCCTTTACTTAAAAACTCCAGAAATTACGAACAATTTGTTGGGAGATTTCACCGTAATAAATGTTTTGTGAAACAAGACACGGAAAAGCAAGATTCTCCGATACAACACAGCATGCAACAATCGAATCACACTTGACGGAGAAGACTTGAAAGATGGCTTTATTCAATATTATAGTTTTGGTACAATATAGGTGGACATTTCCCATAGCATTAGCTGACACTAGACTGAAAGAGTATCCAGTGAATGCACATCTTTGGTTTAATTAAGTGTTGAATCCGATATACAGGATTTCCGTTTCAGTTTGAGCTGGAAGAGTGTTTCTGTTCTTCCTTGTTCAGCTAACATACGTCACTCAAGAGGTAGTTAGGTATTTACCCCATCACGTGATGTTTTACTGTGACAAAACGTGCTTGCGAAGTTGAAAACGGATGGAGGTATGCGGCAGATTGATTAGTTATATACATACGTTTTTCGAAATGGCTGGTCCAGTAGTTGGATCTATGTTAGCATGTCGATGTATGCAGCTTGAAAAAAATTCTAGGTGTTTGTGATAGACAAAAATTAACCAATGCGTGGAAGAAATGGAGCACGAAGTTCCAATTTAAAACTCACAAACGTTTACTATTCAGTGAAAAAAAAGTAGAAACCTACAGCCCAACAGAAAGCAAGGAAGTAATTAAGAGTAAAAACTATATTGCTTTAATTCCAATTGGAGGTCATCGACTAGATCTTAATCAACTAACGTAGACTGCTACACAGTCAACATGACTATCTTCGTGGTTTCCTGTGATGCGGGTTTTTGATCGAGGTCCACTGACACTTGAGTGTCTTCCAGTTTGTTTTACTATTATGCCTTACCAAACAAGATCAGTTGAGAGTCACGACACGGGTTTAGGAAAGACAGGTTTTAGGCATCTAGCCTTCTAGAACTGTACAGTTTGAGAACCTTCCGGAGCGGAAGGGTACAAATCCAACCAATGTTTATTGCTTCGGAAAAGCTTTAAACACAGTAACGCGAGGATGGGTTTTGCTGACCCACTTCTGTTCTGGCTGAAGAATCGCCTGCAGAACTGAATGTCCCGTATCAAGGCACATGAAGTACATGTGGACTAGAGGGTCTCGACATCGAAAGTCTCACAGCAGATCACTTTAACTTCACCACTCATCCTGACTTTTACAAACAACTACCTAGATAAAACTAACCCTCGCTCACACTGACGATCATAAGAGACGGAGGTTTATAAAACGCGAGGGGGATTCGCTGGAGCGCCGAAGGACTTCACAACATTAAGGAAATGGGCAGAAATTACTTTCTCCATAATAACTTTTCCCCATCATCTTCACAGAGCGCGATGTAGGACTAGCAACACACAGAGAACTTGGACGCCAGTTCTAACTACACTTCAAATCCAACTCTCCACTTTTATAAAGACAACCTGATGCAATCACCCCAAAGTTGTTTCCTACATTGCTTAAGACAAACTCGTGGCCTCACTCCGAGATTCACAATGTTCACTCACCTCCTCTCCTCGAAAGAAACGTAAATTTCTCAGAGACGAGCAACGAAGTGGGTGATGGAGTTAAGGAAAAAATCTCACGAAGATGAACTCCGACAGCCAAAGTAGTCCTCTCTCAGCTACATTGGATTAAGGGATGACGTGATAATGATACACAGCGTGCTAAGTACACAAAGTCATCCCTACACGAAGACCCTACCAGGACCGAAAACTCAGCTACGCCCCCCACTTTTACTTACTAAGATTTGCCTTGTTTGGTATGTTATCCCGGCAGGAGTGTCCACAGACCTCAATGGACGGCTTCAAGTGAAAACTCGACAAATATGTACTCACCCATTGAATGCCACCTCCCACTTGGAATGTGTCTGATGCATGTTTTGTAATCTACCTACTATTGCTACTGTCACATCAGCTTGTTTCAACCTTATTTCTTATCATCTCCGTTCCCCCTTTTGTTCGTACACTCCGACCTCTTCATACTGTTTGAACTATTAATTTATTTATTTACCTTTTGACACAACCAACTTCTCTTAGCACTCGAATTTTTCTTTTTACTGTTTTCCACATAGCAACCAACCGACCCTCTACCTGGTAGTGCCATAACTGAGACGAACGCACTCAATTGAACTACATGATACAAAAACGATTACCAAACTGACTAGAATTAGTGCAGCCAAGCGGCTAGACTACCACTTATTGGACAATATCAATGACCTGAAGTTGAAACGAAACAACAAGAGAGCGTAAAGAAACCAATTGGTTTACACATGTTGTGACGAAGACATTGGATATTGGACGTGAGCGTGTTTAGAGTTGGTTGTTTACATGTGTAATGTGGGTTTTCTCTGTTTTTGTCTTATCGTTTCTCGGTGATACGGACAGACTTTATTTAACCTATGCACTTAGTTATCAGGATTAATGACCGGATATTATCGACGATGTACACATTAAAGATAATGAGGTTACATCACATGATGCACTTAATCTCCCTGTAGTCTCAATCCTTGTTTATTTACGATTATTTCTTAATCTTTCACTGAATGGTGAATTTTATGTTACGTATGTCACCTATTCTGTGTTACTCGACTGTGATGTACATAAATCCAGTACTCAGTTCCAGTTTGGGAAGGACAGGAGGCTCGATATCCTTTGTTAGTCCTGGCAATGGTGGTCTCTCAGTTGATCCAACTTTCTTTTGAAAGAGTCGACGGATGGAGCCTCAACTACGTGCTGAGGTAGTGAATTCCACTCGATGATTCGATGGGGAAGTCGATAGTCAGCTGACAAGTAATTTGTTCTCGGCTTGTGAACTTTCTTGGAGTGTCCTCGTAAATTCTGTTTTGGAAGACAAGAAAAATGAGGGCATGTTAGGTGCAAATTTATCACTAAGCAATTTGTAGACTGTAATCAAGTCGCCCCTAGTTCTGCGATATGACATCGGTAAAAGGTTCAGCTTGGCCAGTTGAGTTTTATACGGAAGATTCGCTATTTCGGGAATCAGCTTAGTTGCCGTACTCTGAACTTTTTCCAGAAGCTCACTGTCTTTTTTTAAGCAGGGGCTGGCCGCTTGTATGCAGTACTCAAGTTTAGGACGTACGAACACTGTATATAAAGTCAAAAACGTCTTAGCGTCGACATGACTAATAGCCCTACGTATTGACCATAACGTTCTAAAACCTTTGGCGGCTATTGCACGACAGTGTGCAGTAGTCTTTAAGTCTTGGCTAACGATGACTCCTAATTCATTACATGTCTGGACGACAGGTAGCTCAGTGTTGTTCATCGTGTATGTATCTGTACCTTGATGACCGATATGCATCACAACACACTTGGAAGTATTTATCGGCAACTGCCATGTTTGAGATCATTCAGATAACTTCTTCAGGTCATTTTGAAGTTCTAAGCTATCACCCTCACATCGTATCGTTCTCCATATCTTGACATCGTCAGCGTATATCAAGACCGATGATGATAGGAGACGAGGAAGGTCATTTACATACAAGAGGAATAGCACTGGCCCCAAAACGTACCTTGGGGCACTCCACTAAGCACAGTTTCCCAGCTAGATAACTTTGAGTTCACCCGAACTCTTTGTTGACGCCCAACTAAGAAGTCTTTTATCCACATCAATAAATTGCCTCCAATCCCGACTTTTCTTAACTTATATAACAACCGGTTGTGTGGAACTTTATCAAAAGCTTTACTGAAATCAATGAAGGCGACGTCTACAGGTAGCTTTTGGTCCTTAAGAGCGCACCAGCTTTCACGAGCCACTAATAAGTTAACGAGACAAGAATAACCTATTCTGAAACCGTGCTGCTTCTCCGAGAGGATCCAGTTTTTATCAAGATACTTAAACAGCTCCTTCCGAATAATCTTTTCTAAGATTTTAACAACCACACTAGTTATGCTAACGGGGCGGTAATTGTGATGTGTGCGTTTCGTACCTGTTTTGAAGACAGGACTTACTATGGCGTTTTTCCAATCTTTCGGTAAGCGACCCTGCGTAACGGATAGGTTAAAGCATGTACTTAAAGAACTTGCAACGAAGTTAGATAATTCCTTTAGTAGCCTAGGATGTAATTCATCGGGCCCCGTGGATTTACCTATGTCAAGCTTATTTAGCAGACCAAAGACGTCGAGTTCTTTAATGGTCACGCTATCCAGTGTATGTATGGGGGATCTGCATACGCTGACGGGAAGGGCGCTTCTATAGTATATACGTTGTTAAAGTAGTTTGAGAACGCTTGAGCCTTACCAAAGTCGTCCTCCACTAAAGATGAGGCAGTACTGTCTCCCCATAGGGCAGGAATATTTCCTTTTCTCCTTGTCCTTTGGTTTATATAGGAATACAAGCGTTTAGGTTATTCTATGGGTTCCTTAACAAGTTTTCCTTCGTACAATTTTCTAGACTTACGGAGGGTCGAGGCACAAGTATTCCGAGCCTTTCGATACTGAGATTTTGACTCATCAGTCCACAGTAACCTAAATCTATCCCACATTTTCCTTTTCTTACGGAGAAGGATACGGACCTCCCTACTGAGCCATGGGGGTGAGTTTTTCGGCCCCTTTGGTATAGTCCAAGGAATGTGAGGTGTGGTAACTTTTAAGTATGAATTTCGAAATGCATCCCAGGCCGTTTCAGTGGAGGACTCTGGGTCTATTTTCCAATCTATTAACGATGCTGAGTGCATGTTGTCTGGTATGTGTGCTTTCCAGACGTTGGGTCTGGACTGGACTGACGCGTGCTCGTGACTGGCAGTTATATGGAAGTCGAAAGTTATAACTGCGTGGTCACTTTTACCTAGGGGTGGCATATGATGGAGGTTCGCAACATCATCCTCAAAGTGAGTCAGTATAAGATCTAATAAGGATGATTCAGTGTCCGGATCGTACCTTGTCGCTTCTTTCACATGTTGCACTAAAGCACATGTGATAATCCCATCAACTAGTTCCTGCTCGAAGGAATTCTCCGACGATTTAGTTCGCAGATTTTCCCAGTCTACTATAGGTGCATTGAAGTCCCTTAGGGTTAGATATCGACCACTTTGGGACCAAGTATTGAGACTGCTTAACAGGATCTCATTTGCCTCACAGCTTGGACTGCGATAGACCAAACCAGTCAGCAGCTCTTGTCCCTTGCATTTCAAGTGGCAACTAACCAATTCACACGTCCCACTCTCATGGGATACACTATCGATAATGGCACATGGGATAGCATTCCTAATGAATAGAGCTACTCCATCTCCTTTGCGCTATTGTGTTCTGTCGGCCCTTGCTAACGTAAAACCCTCGAAATCAAGTTCCATACTATTCATAGCCTGTGTCAGCCAGGTTTCTGTTACTGCGATTATGTCTGGCTTTGTAGAGTCAATCTGTACACCTAGTTCCGATCGCTTATTAAGTAAGCTTCGTGCATTGGTGTAACAGATCCGAAGCCTGTTTATGTGCCTTCGTGCTTCACCCAGAGTGGCTTCGGCATCATTCTCTGTCGAAGTCTTACAACCCGAAAATTTACAATTTTCAGGGCCTTTTCGCCAGCGTCTAACCTAAGTTGTAGTTCTTTATCGGCTTCCCGTCTTTTAACACGGTCTGCCAACGGTAGGTCCTTTCGGATAAAGACTCCTGAACCCTTTAATTTGTGTCCATTCTATAAAATTAGGTCACGTTCGTTCGAAGAGCTGAATACTACTTTAAGCAGTCTGGAATGATTTGGTTTCGAGTCCGCTAGACTCCCTAGTCTGTACACCTTTAGCAAGGTGACCCCAGTGATATTTTTAGGCATGAGTTGATTAGGCGGCTGCCTAATCAGTACAATGTCATGCTCAAAACGAGCTTTAGGTTCAGAGCTCTCGCTCTCCTTGATTCTATGAAAAATAGCTGATCTGTCTGTTATAACTGTGAGACAGTAGCAGCTGATTTGAGGGGGCGAATTATCGATCGGACCAAAGACGCGCAGACACGTAGAACGACCTAGGGTCCTGATTGGCCCCGCTTCCTTCTGGGATATTTTCCTGAATATCCCAACACCTCCCCTTTTTTGGAGATCCGGAGTTGATATCCGGATTTTGGATTTCTTCGCGTCTATCCTCCCCCGCGGAATAATGTTGGGTCCTCGTATACCCAAGTAACAGTTAGTGTGACTCTATTTAAAGCATATTTCCCGCATTGAGTAGAGAGTCCACTAGAGCTGACTAGATGCTGAGGATCAGCGACAGTAGATATGAGGTCATTAGAGTTTGATTCTTGTGAAACATTCCCATTAGATCTCTTCGAAATTCCATTAGTGGATAATACGTTACCAAAATAAACAGCATCTATCAAAATTGTATTAGATTTCTGACCATTGTTTGATGCATGTGACACATTCTCTGGCAAAACAAGAGGATCTTTTCGTGAGCTGGATATGCTACTGTCTGTACATGCTGTTTCGGGGATGATGGAGTTTGACTCCATTACCGGGCATGTTTCTGGAATAGAAAGTACTGGACCACCGGGCGCATCATGGACGACTGTTTCGTTTGAAGTACAGTTCATCGAGGATTCATGGAGGCTGTCATTTTCCAGCTCACTGTGAAACTCAGATATCAATCCGTCCACTTCCGTCGCATCTTCATAGCGTGACTGATTTAGCAGCTGCGTGCGGAATTTGACTAATAACTCCAAATGTCGTTCAAAGAGCAGCTGTAATCGATCGGAAGGGAGAGTCATTTTTTCGAATCAGCACCTGTGATGAGAATTACTGTGTGAATAATGACCAATGTCGTTGAAGGACAGTGACGACAATCTGGATGCTGATTGGTTGAAATAATTAGATTGGATTTCGTCCAATTACAGAATGACTTTGGATTGTATTTTTTCTTCACCCCGTCGCCAATTGTTATAACTGTGAGACAGTAGCAGCTGATTTGAGGGGGCGAATTATCGATCGGACCAAAGACGCGCAGACACGTAGAACGACCTAGGGTCCTGATTGGCCCCGCTTCCTTCTGGGATATTTTCCTGAATATCCCAACACTGTCGCTATGATCAGCTTTTGATTTTTCAGCTACTTTTATGGGGGAAGGGTTCCCTTTTATATCTCTACTTTTCTTCCTTACAACCTGTACCCATTCGTCAACAGTGCTGGTAGAAGCAATAACAGTTGCATCGAACCTAGTGTTGGATTTTGGCGGGTTGTCGACGACCTGAGAGGTGGGGTTATATTTACCGCTTGAAACCGATCGAGCCTTGCGATTGCGGCTTATGGATGTTTCCTGTTGGATCCCATCTGGGAGACGGGGAACAGAAAACCCTACTTTTCTTGAGCTTTTGTTTAAGGCAGGCCCCTTTGGAGACTGCTTTTCCTTCTTTGATGGGCGTGAGTCATCTATCATCGAACTAACCTTAGTTTCCTTCACGTTGATTTGCGTGTCGACAGATCAAGTGCTGTTTGACGCGTTCCGACTATGCTTGCTAAAACACTTCTTTGCAGCATCAACCAGTGAGATGGCCTCGGTTGACAAGCTGTTTGCATCCGAGCAACACTGTTGGCAAAGCCATACACAACCCTTCTTACTGAACCGTTTGAAAGCAGCAGGCGTTAAGTTCGTGCAAACTTCGTGGTACCAGCCTTTGCACTCGTCGCACTGCATGCCTCTTTCAACAGGATAACGACAACCCGGACGTTGGCAACTGCATTTTTTACACTGTCCGGTCATTTAGGAGGGTTTATTTTTCAAGATGCGATGATACTCAGAAACAAAAAAATAATCAAAGAGAAGAGCTGTAGATTGCTAGGACCAAAGTCAGTCAGTCAGTAACAACGTAAAACTTCGTACGTACGTACATCAGTTCGAGTTGCCACACCACCTTAACACAGAGATGCAGTTGTCGATTCAAATCCCGTAGTGGTAGAGGTAGCAAGAGTGTAAGCAGTGATCGGGAAGGACCAAAAGTACTAACAGATACAGTTGAAAAAGAGGTGCTCAAGAGTACCAACGACAAAACTAATTGAGAGAACAGTAAAAACGATACTCTAGTCGAATAAATTCAATTAAAGTGAAAACAGTAGTCTTGATACGTAATAAACGATCAAAACAAAAATTTACTCAGCGAGGAAAAATACCACTGCCCTTTTTAAATAACGCGCTATCGACTCCATAATGGTACGTGCTTTTATTTCCTGTTCCTTGTTTATCAGCATCTAAGTTCAGGTAACTCGAATGTGATTGAGAGACTGACTTTCCAGGCTGAGCTCGTCAGTGTTCCTTTAGGCAAAGTCTGGTATATATATATATATATACATTCCTTTTTCGTCCTCTCAATTTTGTAAGCAACCCCCCTGGTGCGAGAAGCCATTGGGTATGACTTCCCAGTTAATGGCTGTATGCGCGTGGTCATGTGAAAGCATTTCGAGAGGGAGAACTGATTCTCCTTACCCTCTGCCTTACCAGGGCATTTGAAATTTTTAAAATCTATTTAGAATACCATTCTACGTTAACATAAATATTTTACCAATGCTTTGTAGGTAAATGTAATCATTAAGGAGAATCGTTTGCTTTTATGGATGTATAGCAGTTACAAAGTTTCTGTCTCACTGAAAGTGTAGGACAGCGATGATCTCCTGAATACTTTCAAAGTATTTTTAATAAGGCTTCCCAATTGTATGTTGAATCAAACCACTATTAAGTTCAAAGTTAGGTACCGTGTTTCAGATGAAAAATAGCCGGTCAGCTAGTCTACTTGCATAATTTAGAATGGTGATTGTCTGTATTTTCTATTATCTCCACCTTCCATTTATCTTATATAGTAGAGCAAATAGATAAGTTTATTGATAAGGATATTTAGTGACACCCTAACATTTTTGTAAATGTACCGGAGCCATGAAAAGATTCTCCGGAATAAATCCTTCGAGGTTATAGTTTTTATTTCTTTTGTTTCGGTCTTTCTTTCCGAACTATATTCACAAGGTTCAGTTTCCATCCACTAGGTGGATTCTCCATATTCACCAACCCGGTTAACGAGCCGAGCATTCGCCTTTTTTTCTTTCACTTTCGTTAACAATACGCCCGCTGCGCGAGGTGTCAGTGAGTAGGAATTCCCTGTGAGTAGCTGTATATACGTGCGACCATTGTTAGGGCGGACTCCCCCACCCTCAACCGTACCAGAGTATTTCTATTCAGAGTTTATAAATTAATCCTCAAACCTATCCAGTAAAATGTAAACTGTTTGGACTTTGGTAATGTTCTCACATCTTGATCATGTTAAAAGTCATTATAATTCCAAGTTTGTTATGGTTTTATTTTTTTCAGAAATCATGTATAAACTAGGTCGTTTAATACCAAGTTCAATTAACTTTGTACATACGGATACAATGTATAAATTGGAAAATGTTTACCATCTTGGCAGAGAAAATAATTTATCTTCGTGTATTGAAATGTCAAGTGAATGTATTTCCAATGAATTAAATGAACGTGATAAAAGTCTTCTTAAAGAGCTTGGTCAATTGGACGATAATATATCATTCCTTTTAAACATGTTTAAAAGTTACCATCCAAAGAATAAGTCCAATGTTTGTGATGCTCAAAATGCATCAAAATCTGACTTTATTTCTGAGCTTCGTCAGTTAACATATCATATTTCAAATCTTTCAAATCATTATAAAACAAATCTTTTTAAAGATGTACAACACGACATTTTCAAAGAACTAAGTAAATTAGACTTAGAGTTAGATGATATTTTGAGTATGTTTACAAATTATTGTCATCTTCAACATATCAATAGCAAAATGACAAACAGTACTCCAACACCTTCAAATAAATCTATTACTGTTCTTAAAGAACCTTTCACGCTTATTATTCAGTGTAATCCAAATAGTCCTCCATTATCGGTATTATTGTTTTGTCACATACTACTTAGTAACCAATATAAAGTAACAATTAACTCATTTGTACATTCAACAGTAAAAGAGCTTCCTACATCACTCAAAAAGTTAATGGAAATCCTTTCAATTGATATGCATGGTTCTTCAAGTAATAACACATGTTACTGGCAAATTGACACAAAACTGTGTCTACATTTTATATGGAATTCAAGCTGTCCTGATATTACTGTTTCATCCCTTGATAAATCTATTACACCAATAACGTTGTATGGAGAATGTATGCTTGTACAATTGATTGGAAAAATTCTAGAACCTCACAATTTCGACCAACTCTCATCACTTATTATTACTATAGACTCAAGTTTACTATTACTCGGATTATCGATACGTAACGCTTCCCTAGATGTAAAACAAAAGTCATTAAATATTTTAAATAACCACCCATATTTTGTGAAGTTCAATCGTGAACTGCCATCAATCGTTGATTGTTATCTATTTGTTTGTATTAAGGAATTGAAACTGTCAGATGTATTGCCAGCTAATCTGAAATCATGGTTGCAGTTTTGTTCTAAATGGAAAAGCTTTAATTTGTTACCACTTTAAGTTTTTCTCTGTCGCCTAAATTTGATAAGTATATTTACTGGTGTATAAAAAATCTTATTTTGCTATGATTTTTAGGTTGAGAAAAGGCGTTCATGAGAACTGCTTTCGTAACGTTATGTTTGAGTACTACCTATTAATTCAGTGGTTCCAAATGTTTGTCTTAGTTGAACTACTTACTAGTATACCTTGTTTAGATCAAATGATAATAATCAACATCACAGTTTCTTATAAACTTCGATATCATTGTACTCTGAATATTAATGATCTCTGCAAAGTAAGGTACTAATTCAAGATGTTTGAGAATTTAACTAGTTATCTCACTCACCATCTTTGCCACTCTGAATGTCTTTTAGATTCTTTATCATATATGCAAACAGAATGATCTGATTAGTATGGTGCTAAATCTACCTAGTATTTTTTTTTACAAAAGATAATTTCCTATCATTATGGTTGTGTTCGAATCTTATCTATACAGCAAATCATGAGCTTGTGAACATAAAACGGTCTTTGTGAAAAAATTGATGCAATTAGTCAATAGCCAAATTAATTTTTAATAATGTTCTTTAGCAGACGTATCTGTTCCTCAGTATTTAAGTGTTAAATTACTCACTTTAGCAACCAGGTACAAGTTCGTACACGACACCATTGCCTCTTTATCCAGTAGAACGAGGTTGAAACCATTTAACTAACATTTAAAGCTACCACACTGTAAGAGTTAATGATAATTTCCAACTGCCCAAACGATAACAGTTCAAATTCACAACAGAGTGGTCGCAAACCGAATACTGTAACCATTAAGCTACAACTTTAAATGCCCAGTAGCTAAAATTTGTTGGTAAAGTTACAAAATGACCATTTTACTTGTTCGATAAGTTCTTAGAACTAATCATGTTAACGAGTGAAACCAAGTAGTATATATTCAACTGGATCACCATCTCACAGGACTCAACGTTGATATGGTTGATTGCTTAAGATCATTTTCATTTAACATAGTTTACTTGACACATCCCTGTGCACAAGTTTTCAGTTGTACTGACATTGTTTGGTATGATAAAATTTTGCTTTCTTATACATAGCTCAGTTGTTCAATGTCGTGATTTGCACAGCTTTGTTCGTAATTTCCAAACTAGTTGAAGCTTACAAGCTAACTTTCTCAAGTAATTATGATCAAGGACACCTCACTAGAATTTCACCAGCTTCTTAAGTTTCAGAATTAAATCCAAGATGGGATAAGTGCTGCGTGCCATTAGGGTACCTTAAATTAGCGGCTCTACTGACTGACAGTAGATGTTGTTGGATTATGTCTTTAGCGAAGCGTCAGAATTCTAGACACGCGTTGAGTTTTAGGCAGCGTGAAACAAAATTACAGGACCTCTTGTACTGATTTCCTTCAAGTATCGAATATTGATGTTACTCCTAAAGCAGCTGTTTAGTGTCAGTCAGTCAGCTACAACGTAGGACCAGGCACATATATGCGTCGGTCCAGGTTGCCATACCTCATTAGCACAGCAAGATGAACACCGGATTCATAGGAGTAGTTAGGTTAAAGGTGGTAATATATGAGAGAAAGATTGCATATAAGGATACAGTACCGGAATATAGAATTAGTTCGTAGAAAGAAAGATATGAAGCGATTTTAATCTCTTAGTTTAAGGGAAGACAGGGAGTGTATGCACCGACGCCATTGTGAATTCATTCTTAAACGGTAGGCTGATACATATTTCCTGTGAATAAAAGTCGCTTTTATTATCCCCAATTCACCTACTCCTTTTAGTTATACAAGTGAAGAAATAAATCATTCATTTACTTTTATAAATTAATGCATGCAATCATTCTAAGAAAGTACATACACGTGAAGAATCGTACTGTAATGTATTTTTCTGCAAACAACTTTAAAATAATTTGAGATACAATGGGACTAGATTAAACAAATCAGAAAAGGGCCAAATGTAGAAGAAATACCATGACACACTTTAAACTATCGGACTAAATTGAAATTATAATTTTAAAAAAAAGATGGTCGGGGAATTCAAGATGGCAGAGGCATCAGAAAAATAAGAATTGAGTATCTTTTGCAATGTGAATTAGATTATTACACGTAATCCTATCATAATAAAAGTATTTCGGCACTAATTAAATTCGACAATCAATAAAATCAAGAGGGAATTGATTGTATAAAATAAATAACAGTATCTACAGGTGAAAGGATATTACAAAATAGTAGGATATCATTAAAAATTAAACAAGCAGTAGTATCATTATGAATTTTCTAATCCACTAGATGAAACATGATTGAGAAATGTAAAATGAGAAGAGTCTATACTTGATTGTATAAAGGGCAGAAACTATTGACTAGGCAAAGCCGTTTACTACTAATGTCAATAGGTGTGTAGTGTACATTAAGACAGAGTGAAATGAAGGATAAGAAACTCAGTAGAGATATAATTTATGTGTAATTACGTAATATGAGGAGTAAAACAAGAAAGAAGGACGCATGTGCATACGATTGCAAAATAAATATGAATATTATTGAACATTGCAATTGATTGGTAAAGGCTTATCTGGGTTTAAACATTTATTACACGTAAGTAATTCAGATACGGCACGTACCATATAGGACATTGTACCGAATTTTCCAGCAGGTGGTGTGTCATAGAAACGCTGACAAATATTATGTAATCCGTTGCACGTTAAAGTGCTTTGTTTACGTGCTTGGTTATTATTACTAGGCGTTGAGTCAGTGACTCCAGATTGCTTCATTGGTTTTGCACAACACACTGTGGCGTTTCCGCCATACTTTATCTAAAATAAGTAAACATCACAAATGATTGCTTTCACGAGCAAGTATTTACCGAACTGAGTCGCTTCCTCAATCAGTAGGATATAAGTGGTTGTGGAAGATAACGACTAATGTTACCCACTACATCATCATTGGTGTTGAATGGTAGTTAGTTTTGCGACTCTTTAGCATAACAATAAAACAGCTGAATTGTTTTATGAAGTAACAGGTTTCTCGTTACGATTTTAATAAATACAAATTGTTGAAAAGGATTCTTAGAATGATGACAGAATTTATTTTCAGCTGTGGCTGTACGAGTATGGACAAATACTGATTAGTAATTATCTTACTTCCATAGTCGCTTAACGTACGACGAGACAGTGGATCCTACCAGAGAGTATTCGTATTCTAGAGCTAAGTACACTACTTGAACAGGTGCATATAACAATGACCTTTAGGTTAAAAATATTTAGATTAGATAATACTGTTCACATTCAAATTATTCTTAGGAACATCATGATCTAGAACAAACTATCACAATTTGTGTAATCAAAATGTTATGGGAACTTAAAGTCCAAACCAGCAATTTCGCAAATAAATGTGGTATGGTAGCCAGAAACCGATTGATACACAATTGTATACTACTACTACTGCACATAGTTACTTAGTCGAATTGTTTAAATTATGGCTTATTATCAGCATCATTCAACGTAAAGTAGGAATATCATTTAAGGTTTAACGATTGAGACAGTGATTTTGTTCCCGTATAGTCTAATAAAAGGTGTCTTGTGAACTGTTTAACGATTTCTATTCCTTCCAACAACTGATGTTGAACTAATTGAGTTACAGTTTCAAACAGAGTTTTACAAATTTCATTTTGGGAAGCTACATGGTAGTGCAAGTGTTGTGAACAGAGTTTAATTAAATTATATAATTAAACAAAGCAATCACTTACTTGATCAATTAAAAATAAATTATTTGCTTTCTCTACAACATCTTCAACTTTAACGATACAATCAATAAATATTCGATTGTCAACATCATGCATCATCAATGAACCAAGTACGTGAATTGCTTCAATAATTAATTGACGATATTCTGGTGTACTAACCATTGTGCATACATGTTCAACAGTTAAAGCAAATTTATGTTCATCCATTGTCATCTAGATTACGTGGATGGGGGGAGAGAGAGATGGTAGAGAATACAGATATTATTGAAAAAATAAAGGAAATGTAAATCTTTTCTTATAAAATCAGCATTGATAACAGTATTTTCAACATGAAATTCCAAATAGCTAATATGATGTTAAATAACTGAAGGAGAAATTATTAGTCTTCAAAACAAGGAATACTCAGAATACCTTAAAATGATTCCATGAGGAAAAAAACTAGTGATGTCGAAAGATTTTTCATCGGTAAAAGTTTTAAAATACTTTGGTTATCACTGATTTGTAATCTTAGGTTATCCATTGAACAGTGAAGAAAGTTACAATTTCCAACTACCAGGTTACAAACTTGAGTCTCAATCTACTTCGATTTAAACAGCTACGTAGTATCACTAAACCTCATAAAGAAGCATGGCTGGTTTATTAAGTACTCAACTGTACTCAACGTTTGGCCATAATGTTTACGTCAGATACAGTTTTATATTACATAGAGAACCTAAACTGGGGTAGATGGGATAGGGCATGAACATTTAACCTACTTAGTCAAAAGCTGAGTGGTTTAATCACTAATCCAAACTAATGCATGTAATTATATTTGATTATCAAGTTGTTTTTGGGCATTGGTAAGTCACAGACTTATGATATGAACGAATGTCCAGACTAAGGAGTTATCAATCTGATCTGAGTCACGTAGGAAAATGTTGTCTAAATCAAAACCTATACCTCGTTTTTATCGAATGATCAAATTAAGCTAATAAATATCAAGCAGTTTTGAAAATGGAGAATTTGGAAAAGATTCTTTCGCAGAATATATTGTTTTATGAAAATGTTAGAACGTAAAAAAATACAAAACAAGGACTTGACAAATTACAACGTTAAAAAAATACTAAGAAATGATTTATTTAGTGATATACACGACATTTAGTTAAACAATAAATTGAGCCAACCAGACATTAGCCAAATCATAACGGGTAAACGCTATTGGACTTCATCAGTAAGAATACTTGTAGTTTTGAGGGAACAGATGATTCCTGTAGTCACTGCTCAGTCATT